CGAATGACCTGAAAGTTTGCATACACGTCACAAATGACACAACGGACCTACTCCAACTTCCAGAATTCTATTCCGACCCCTATATCAAAATCTCCCCTATCCACCGGAAAGCGCCAAAATTCCCATTTCGTCAATTCAAGCCTTAATCTACTCCAGACCTCCAAAACACATTCTGATCACGCTCCTAAGTCCCAAATCACCCCATGAAGCTATTCAAACCATCAGAATTTACATCCGAGACCTATTTCACATAAATCAACATCCGGTTGACTTTTTCAACTTAAACTTACTCAAAAGAGACTAAGTGTCTCTAACCTTTCCAAAACCCTTTCGAATTCGAACCAACCAACCCGATACTATATAACACAGGTGAACAAAGCATAAAGAAGCAGAATCGGGGAAAACGAAGCGGTAACTCATGAAACGACCGGCCGGGTCGTTACACTTTCAGACAGCTTTATGTTTTATTCAGACCATTATTTGTACTATTCTAGTAGCTCGTGCACTTGTGATACCAGTTCCAGGGTTTTATAAAATATTTTAGTTGTTGTAGCTTCCGCACTTTCTTTGGATTATTGCAGTTATGTTAACTCTTTCTCATTATTTAATATAAATTGTTAAATATGAATAAATTATTCAAACGTTGGCTTGCCTAGCAAGTAAAATGTTAGTCGCCATCAGGGTCCCGACGGTGGGAATTCCAGGTCGTGACAGATTTTTTAGGTGATTTTCACCACATGAATTGGGGTAAGTGTTCTCTACTCATTTTTTGATTATATTACATGAATCTATCTTCATATTTGGCATTGGGATTATAAATTTTAAAGAGAAATTGGGGGGGAGGGGGTTGTTAAATATTTTGTAAAGTGAGTTTTTGAGTTTTGAACATTGACTATGAGTTGGATTTGAGTGAAACTAGTATGGTTGGACTCATAATTGAATGAGTTATTGGATTTTATGTTTTTTGTCAGGTTCCGAGGTGTCGGCTCGGATTTGAACTTTTGTTTGACTTTGAGCTTTTGATTAAAGATACACCTTTATCTATTGGGTTTTTTGGCATTATTTGATGTTCTTGAGTTGCTATTGGCTAGTTTCGAGCCGTTCGGAAATCGGTTTATATGCCATAGGGAGAAGCATTGGTTTGCTCACATCGATAGGTTCAAAGTCACCAAATTTAATCATATTTGGTGATGATGCAGGATGCCATCACATTCATGTACTTCGACAAAATTGCAAAGGACAATGGGATCAAGTGAACCAAAAACGAAAGAGACTTGATTCGAACTGTCTTTCTCATCCTCAAGCAAGATTTTTCCTTCAACGGCCAAATCCATGACTTTCTCCTTGAAGACAAGGCTCTTTTCGATAGGGTGGCCAATCAACCGATGGTACTTGCAATAATCTGGATCATTAGTCTTTCCGGCTTCGTCTGGCCGCTTCATTTCGGGTAACTCAATGAGTTTTATCTCAAGGAGTTCTTCAAAAATTGCTGGGACATCGGAGTCCAAGAATGGATATTCTTTCGCTTGCATTTCCTTCAGAGTTAACTTTCGTCCAACTTTATCCTGTAAGGATGTTGTCTTCACACTTTGCTTCTTACTCACTTTTGTAGTGACCTTAGTGGCTAGGCATTAACATTCATTGATTCCATGCTCTCAGACTTCGGCAAAAACCTGCTTCCTTCCTTTATTTCTTGTTTATCCTTTACTTTGCGAGGTCCATAAATAGGTGGCCCTTGATTTCCACTTGAAGACATACTTAGATCCATATCATGAGCACGCGTAGCCAATTATTCAAAAGACTTAGGCTTGATACCCTGCAGGATGTGGCGTAGTCCCCAATGCATTCCTTGGATACACATTTCTATTCCAAAAGCTTCACTAAGTCTATCTTTACAATTGAGGCTCGCATTCCTCCATCGATTGATAAAATCAACAACTGGTTCATTCTTCCATTGACGCATATTTGTGAGTTCAACCATACTTACAGTGCACCTTGTGCTATAGAAGCAATTGAGAAATTCATGTTCAAGTTGCTCCCAGCTATCGATGAAACCAGCCTCGAGATCAATGTACCAATCAAAAGCATTTCCTTTTAAGGAACGGACGAACTGCTTGACAAGATAATCTCTATAGGTTCCAGCATTATTACCAGTTTCGACGAAGTGTGCAATGTGTTGCTTCGGATTTCCTTTACCATCAAATTGTTGAAACTTTGGGGGTTGATAACCTGCAGACATCTTCGAACTATCGATTCTCGCAATGTATGGCTTTGCATATGCGAGAGACGACTTGGCAGCAACATCGTACTTATCTTTGATGGTTCCCATAATGAAGTCTTTCAATTGGTCAATGGGAATAACCCCGTCAGATGAAATCTGAAATTCTGTAGGAGCCGTTGTCTGCCTTGCAGGTGAGTCTCCTTTATCTTGCATCATTGGGAGCTTTCCAGGTGCATGACTTGAATCTCCCTCCATCATGCTTTCAACTCTATCTATCAGCTTGACAATTTGATTATCTTAGTCTTGCATATGCTTCGTTAACCCTTCAATTGCCTTTGTTAAATTTGCGAGTTGTTCTTCAACAGTTGAAGTATTAGTCACCATTGCTTGGATAACCGTCATGGATGGTGGAGCAAAGCACGGATTTTCTCTTACACCTTACTTTGAGTGGAACAACTTACGTGGAGTGCTTGGAGCAGATCCAGTGATCAAGAAATCACATCACCCTGTGTGATGAGATTCTTAGATCTAGAAGGGCTAAGTAGAGCCAATGTCTTTTCAACAATTTTAACAATGTTCGCTCCTTCTTCCAATTCAGTTGGAAAGGATCTTGCCCCCTTTGAGGATTGAAAATCAAAGATAGGAACTGATGCATACGGCATTTGAAATGCTTTTCGTCCCAGCAAGTTTGCTTTGTTCCTAGTGACAGGTCCCACGCTTTCCATAGTAGCATCCAGCAAGTTTTCCACATCAAATGAAAACTTGAAATCCGTAGCCTTAGCAGTAGTGAGTTTGAAGTTGATCTTCTTAGGAGCCATTTCCATGTTCTTGAAATTTGGTAATTTGAAGAGATGAGGGGTAGAGATGGTCCCACTAGGCGTGCCAGAAATTTGTAACAACAAATTTTCGCGTCGAGAAAAATAAATAATCATGACTGGAAAATTGCGTAACAAATGTAGTATTTGATTTCAATAAATGAAAATGTTACAATATCTATGGTATTCCTCTGATTCTTCAAGAATGTAAAGTATCTTAATAAGCTTGACTTTGATTTGATTCAAGGGCTTGTAAAGCTTGATCTTGAATCTCCTTCTTGAACTTGAATTTGGGTTTGATCACGAACACGTAATTTGATCTTGAACGCTTTGGTATTTGATTTGGCTTCGTTCTTGAACTTGTAGAGAAATCTGCTGTGTTTGATCCACGAGCTCTCTGCTTACTTCTTGTTATCACTTCCGGTGTCTTCTAGCTTTATGAAGACCTCTATTTATAGTTGTAGGGAGTGGTATGGCTCTGCGATTTGATTGGTCCGTTTGAACTGACCAATAGCATCCAGACACTTGGCATGATTTAATTGGCTCATTTATTTGGCTTGGATTGCCACGTTACTTGACACGTCGGATGATTTTATTGGCTCATTCTTTTGACTTGGACTGCCACATCACTTGACACGTGGCATGAGCCTGGGCTATAGGATGGGCTAATAGCCGTTTTGACATTGGGCTACTGAAGTGGCCTTATCATTTAATTAGTAATCCACTTAAATGAACTAGCCCAACACATGTATTGGATTTAAATAATTAGCCCAATTTACTAGCCACAATATTTGTTTGGACTAATATCTTGAATTTAATATGGTCCAAATTATTCTGTAGATTTAAATCCAATAAAATTTAAATGCTTACAACACCAAAATCAGAAAATAAAATTAAACTTCCTCGTCTTACCGCTAAGGTTGTAGCGGGATGGATAGATCCCCTTCACTCTTGAATATAAAATTAAAAAATTCTAATAGAAAACGTTTCTTACTTTAATTGCATTTTGTAGCGCCAATTTAGATTATTGGAATCCAAAGTGGATAGCAAAAACCGAACATCCCGAGTGAGAACAAAAAATATTGCTGAAAAAGGGATTTTCGCAGCGTGGGACCAATAGTTGTGCATTCATTCATGCAAATGGACATGAGGGTTAAATGGTCATGTCATTACTACATACTTTACGATGAATGTGTAACAATAATGGCTAATTAAGAACATTAGTCATAAACCAAGTATTTAGAAAAGGAAAACATATTCAAACATTACGATGCGAAGAATATTTGAAATAATTAATCTTCAAAGCATCAAGCATATTCTTATCCAACAACCGTAGAACAATATGTATAGAGGGGCAAAAAATGATTTTTACGCAAGTGTGAATAAGAGACTACATTTTTCTTATTTAAATAGGACTCAGAACCGTAATTCTAGTGGAATTCTTTCACTAAACTGTAGTAATATTCTCACACCCTAGCAACTGATATGATTTAGAAATAGTTCTGCTGGCGGGACTTGTACAAAAAGCTTGATGAGTGTGATACGAGATAGGAAAGCTGTGCTTGCGAAGCTTGTACCTGAGGCTTTAGGGAAAGAACTCTACCGTTAATTTAGTTAGGAAGTCAAGCTAGTCAAAGTAATTAGTCAGTACAAATTAGTTCCTCTCCTATTCCTGTAACTCAAAATCCGCTGAGCTATGGTAATTTGCCCTCACAAGTAATAGCTATTGTGAGCAACTTAACACCAGTGACCATGGCTCCTAACACCTCCACACAACCCTACCCCAATAACCCAAACTCAGCAAACTTACCCCCAGCTTTCCCTAACTATAAGTAAACAACCAAAACTCTCAGACCAGTTATATGAGGTTTCCTATGCCACAGTTTCACCACCTCTCACCACTGCCTGAACAAGGCAGAAACTACCCAACACACTAACCCTTTGGCCAAGGAACCCCTCTTGGTATGTCACTACCCTACAACTCCTATGTTCAATTCCCACCTACCTATAATACACAACCCACACACATTCCTCCACCCCTTTACCAACAGATTCCCTTTGCACAAAACAATGCTTCCTACCACACACACCAGAATTATGCCAATGTGGCTTTACCTAACATTTCCTTCACTAAATATGATAAAGTCGACTTCCCTAAGTTCAATGGGGAAGATCTGAGAACATGGTTGTACAAGGTGGAACAGTTTTTCTCTGAAGAAGAGGTCACCATTCAACAGAAGATGAAGTTGGTGTCAATGCATTTTGAAGGGGATGCCCTACAATGGCATTTGGGGTACATGAAGAGTAGAGGACATATGCCTCTTCCAACATGGGAAGAGTACTTATGGGCATTGTGTGATAGTTTTGGAGCAGAATATTCAGACCCTATGACTGAGTTGATGAATATTAAACATACAGGTAGTGTGAAAGACTACCAAAGAGCTTTTGTTAGTGTCATGACCAGGCTCAATCTGTCAGTAGAGCATGCTATAATCATCTTCCTAAAAAACTTCAAACCTGAGATTAGCAATGGTGTCAGAGTGGGAAATCCTTCTACTCTCCCACAAACATATTATTTAGCTAGGCTGCAGGAGACCAACTTTGTAGCCCAAAGTCAAGCTATCAAGAGTAGTGTGGCTGGTTCCTTCTCTCATAGAGGACCAATGGGGCATCATTCTAACACAACATAGAAGAACACTACAGCAACTTTAGGAAACCTGTTACTGTCAAAATGGATAACAAGAGGAGAAGAAGACTTACCCCAGCAGAAATGGAAGAGAAGAGAGCTCAAGGGTTATGTTTCTTTTGTGATGAGAAGTATGTGTTTGGCCATAAATGCCAGGCCAAGAGACAGTTGTATTAACTTGAGTTAGAAGTGATTGAAGAGCATGCTGGTACAGAAGAGCAGAAGATATGTGAAGAACTGGAGGAAGAGGAAGCAGGAATGGTGACAACCATCAGAAACTGTGCCATTTCCTTGCAAGCTTTAAATAGATCTATGGGATACAGAACTCTTAGACTGAGGGGCTATACTGACAAAAGACCCCTAGAAGTCTTCACTGAGTGTGGATCAACACATAATTTCATAGATGAAGAGACTGCCAGAAAGTTGGGGTGTGTAATCCAAAACATCAAACCACAACTAGTGCAAGTGGCTGATGGAAGGGAAATTCCCACTGATAAGATGTGCAAGGGGTTCAAATGGTTGATGCAGGGGATAATGTTTGAAGATGACTTCTTAGTATTCCCCATAGAGAAGAGTGACCTGGTTCTAGGAATCCAATGGTTATACCCATTGGAAGACATCAAATTCAACTTTAGAAAGTTGTTGATAGAATCTGAGTATAAGGGTAAATTGCTAACACTTAAGGGTATACAACCTACCTTTAAGGCTGTGGATGCTAAGTCTTTTGAGAAGATGTCTGTGGAGGGATCACAATTCTTTATGGTAAGGGTAAAAAGTGAAGGGGAGACAATAGAATTGATCACTAGTTCTGAGACAGAACCAGATGAAGTCATACAATTACTGGGAGAATATAGTGATGTTTTTGGTGAGCCACAACAACTGCCACTTTCCAGGGGAGTCTTTGATCACCATATTCCCCTGTTGGAAGGCAGTACTCCAGTAAACTCCAGGCCCTATAGGTACTCCCCAATTAAAAAAGATGTAATCGAGAAGATGGTGCAGGATTTAGTGAGTCAAGGTATCATCCAATACAGCTCTAGTCCTTATGCCTCTCCAGTTGTACTGGCTGGCAAAAAAGATGGGTCGTGGAGATTATGTGTTGACTATAGAGCCTTGAATAAGTTGACGGTGAAGGAGAAGTTCCCAATTCCAATTATTGAGGAACTGTTGGATGAATTAGGAGGTTCACAAGTCTATTCTAAGCTGGACCTGAGAGCTGGATACCATCAGATAAGGATGGCCCCTACAGATGTTCCAAAGACTGCTTTTAAAACCCACCCTAGCCACTATGAATACCTGGTAAAATTTGGCCTAACCAATGCACCTTCAAGTTTTCAGGGGTTAATGAACCACATTTTTCAGAAACATCTTAGGAAGTTCATCTTGGTCTTCTTTGATGACATACTAATCTACAGCAAAAGCTTGGAGGAACATCTGAACCACTTGAGGATTGCTTTTGATTTACTGGTACAACATCAGCTGTTGGTGAAGAGGAGTAAGTGTGTTTTTGCTGCTGATAGAATGGAGTATTTGGGGCATTACATCTCAGCAAAAGGGGTAGAGACAGACCCTAAGAAGATAGAAGCAGTACAATCATGGCCAACACCTTCTTCTGTCAAACTACTAAGGGGTTCTCTAGGGTTGACTGGATACTATAGAAGGTTCATTAAGGGGTATGGAGTCATTAGCCAACCTTTGACTAATCTACTCAAGAAAGATGGCTTTAATTGGTCTGAAAAAGCCAATGAAGCCTTTAGAAAACTCAAATTGGCACTCACCACAACCCCAATATTGACTCTACCTGATTTTTTCTTGCCCTTTGTAGTAGAGACAGATGCCTGCAATGTGGGAATAGGAGCAATTTTGATGCAAAAGGGGAAACCAATTGCTTTCCTTAGTAAAGGCCTATCAACACAGCACCAAGCACTTTCTGTATATGACAAGGAACTGCTAGCCCTTGTAAAGGTTGTGACTAAATGGTCTCAGTACTTGGCTGGGAGAACCTTCATTGTGAAAACAGACCAGAAGGCCTTGAAGTTCCTACTTGAACAGAAGTTGCATACAAGAACTCAATTGAAATGGATTACAATCAGTATGATTTTACAATCGAGTACAAGAAAGGGAAGGAGAATAAGGTTGCTGATGCCTTGTCCAGGTTACCTCTAGTGAGTTAACAGCATTAACCTTGTCCACAATGAAGACTGACCTACTAAACTTGATTATGTTAAGCTGAGAAAAGGACCCCTCATTGAAAGAGTTGATTCAATCTCTGATGAAAGGAGAGCATGAAGGCAAGGGATATTCTTTCAACCATGGGCAGCTCAGAAAGAATGAAAGGCTAGTGGTTGGTCCCGATGAGCAATTGAGAAGAGAAATCCTGCAACTTTGACATAATTCACCTATGGGGGAACATTCAGGCATGGAAGCCACATATAGAAGAGTGGCAGCTCTGTTCTATTGGAAAAAGATGAGAGAAGACATTCAACAGTATGTCAAAAGTCTTGTGACATCTACCAGAGGCACAAATATGATAACTCTCCTTATCCTAGGCTACTACAACCTAATAAGATACCAGAATCAGCATGGAGCAGCATAAGTATGGATTTTATAGAGGGATTGCCAAAATCAAAGGAGAAGTCAGTCATTTGGGTAGTAGTGGACAGACTAACTAAGTATGCTCATTTCTTAGGTCTGTCCCATCCCTACACAGCCAGTTCTCTTGCACAAGTATTCTTTGATCAAATCTATAAGCTACATGGTGTGCCTGAGGATATTATCAGTGATAGGGACCCAATTTTTACAAGCAAAATTTGGCAGGAGTTGTTTGCAATGTTTGGGGTCACCCTCAATGCTTCCACAGCTTACCATCCTCAAATGGATGGCCAAACAGAGGTAGTCAATAGGTGCCTAGAAACTTACCTCAAATGTTTTTGTTCAGACTCACAGTCAGACTGGTTCCAATACTTGGCTGCAGCTGAGCTATGGTACAACACTGCCTTCCATAGTGCCATACAATGTAGTCCTTATGAGGCTTTGTATGGACAACCTCCCCCTCTTCACTTACCCTACATGGCTGGTGACTCTGCAGTAGAGGAAGTAGACAGGAGCTTGCTTACAAGAGAGTTCAAACTATAACTGCTCAAGTACCACTTGCAAAGGGCACAAGAAAGGATGACAGAACAGGCCAACAAGCATAGGTCTGCCAGAGTTTTCAAAGAAGGAGACTGGGTCTACTTAAAGATCCAACCCTACAGACAGGTCACTATATCCTCCACACATTTTTCCAAGCTATCAGCTAAATTCTATGGCCCTAATCAGATTCTACAAAAAGTTGGACCTGTAGCATACAATCTCTCATTACCTCCTCAACTATTGCTCGACCCCACTTTTCATGTGTACCAACTCAAGGCATGTTATGAGCTGCCAGATAACATTTCACACCCTCCTATCTTAGAACTCTCTAGCCCGTATTGTGCTCAACCTGAAAAAATTTTGGAGCGACGTATGATTCAGAAAGGTAACAAGGCTGTAGCACAAGTGTTGATTCAGTGGAATGATCTACCACCAGAACAGGCCACATGGGAAGATTATCAGGTACTCAAGGTTCGATTTCCCACCTTTCTTCCTTGAGGACAAGGAAGATTTTAACGGGGAAGGACTGATACGAGATAGGAAAGCTGTGCTTGCGGAGCTTGTACCTGAGGCTTTAGGGAAAGAACTCTACCGTTAATTTAGTTAGGAAGTCAAGCTAGTCAAAGTTATTAGTCAGTACACTTTAGTCCCTTATAAGTTTTAGTATATAGTTTACATATTTGTAATTAGGCCTAAGAATTATTCTATGGGAATACCTTTTAGTCCATCACAGTTCGTTATGGTATTTTGTCCTGTAGCAGCTGAGTGGGTGATATATACCCTGTAATTATCATTTATCATTATCAATGAGAATCAAGTTTTTTATCTTGCCCTAGTTTTTTAGCTTAGCCGTAATATTTTTCTTCTTCTTCTTCAATCACGGTACTTATTCCTAAGTTAGAACTTAGAAGGGGCCTGCTAAGTGGTTGGAAGCTTTGGGAATTGACAGATAGGCCCGGAAATTTTTAAATAAAAGTTTAGTAAATTACAGATTTAATATGTTGAAGTTTCTATTTTTCACTTTTGATCCTCCTTATTCACGTGTTCTGAAGAGAACTATCTGCTCATTTTAAGCTTATGAATGAAACTACTCTATTAGCTCTTCCTTAGCTTCGTTTCTTCACTGAATTTACTCTGATTATTGCGAAATCCACGTAGGAGAACAGAATGATAAACACTAGAAGGATAATATGACCATTAGGGATGTGGAGAGATGATCGGGATCCCTTCACTCTTAAGCATAGTTATTGTAGTGGAACCCTTTGAATGAATTTTTTTTGGTATGAAACAATTTACACGAATCCAAATTAATTGAATAAGTGGAGTTGGAATTAGATGGATATATAAAAATCGACAAAAAGAAGGATAATATATACAATAAGAGGAACCCCACATGCATCTAGACATCAACTTATGGACTTGTAAACCGACAACCTTAAATCCGTTAAGGACCCCCTCATTTATTTCTATTGTCTATGCTAGTATATATTATTTATAACAAACGTGTGCATGAACATGCCACGAACCATTCAGGGGTGGTTCAAGAAGATTGATGGCCTAAAGCCAATTTTTAATCTGGGGTGTTTCAAAAGAAAAAAATAATAATTCATCTATATTTTTAATTAAAGTCTATTTTTCTAGCTTTTTAAGATGTAAAGTTGTTAATAGTTTCTTCTTATAAATAATAATTTAATATCTCCTAAGATATTGTTGATCTTAGATAATAGGACCATATTCAAGAAGTTGATAACTTAATATCGAAATTATTTTTGAAATTCTAATATACTTATTGAAACGCTTAAAACCTGAAGGGGAAAAAATGCGAATATAGTTTTATTCAACGATACTCTTCAACTCTTGTTTTTTTCTATAGAAAAAATAAAACTCTTTTCTTTCTACAGAGAACAATATAACTTTTAATTGGAAAAAGAAAATCACTCCCCTAAACCTTTCTCGCGAAAATAAAAAAATTTATTATTTAAATTTTACGATTAACATAATTAGTGAAGTACCTATATTATTATTCCCCTTTTATATTACTCACTAAAACGTGTAATAAACTTTTAGAATCCGCTTTTTGGTATCTTCAATAGCCCAAGTCTTATTTTTTATCCTTACCTTTCATAAAATATTTTACTTTTTTAATTTAAAATACCCAATATATTTGACCCTACCTCTAAAGATTGATGTGAGATGTATATGGTCCAACTTACCTTAATTAGATATATTGGGTTCGAGTCTTGTGGTTAAACAAATCTTGTCAAAATGTACTAGGCCTTACGCGGTACGAATCTAGATTAGTCGGGATCTCAATACAAATACGTGTAGAAAACAAAAAGAAAAATTTGGGGGTCTAAAGCCCTTGCTTTAGTGGCTTAACCCTTGGGCCGCCCAGGACGAACATTAATACAAAGTTAAAATTCTTTAAAAAAGAAACAGAATACAGACGACATTGGCCACCCGGAAGAATAAAATATTTCTCCAATTTGAATTGGTGACCAAATGCAGCTTGCAACTTCTGGGCTGTAATCAGTCCCTTTGTAGACATGACAAAATTGGAGTGATGCATAACTATTGGAATTTTTACATTCCTATGCCATATAGGAAACTATATTACCTTCAATGTTTAAAGTTTGATATAATTATATTTAGTATACCTAATTACCAATTATATACCATAGTGATTTTTAAGGGTATTAATTACACTCCTAATTTAATGGTACCGTATATTCCTTCTAATACCACTCCCCCCACGTTTCTCTCTCCAATTCCCACACCTTCACCCACGTTTCTCTCCCACACCCACGATTTCTGTATTAAAATCCCAATATTTCTTCCATAGCCAAGGCTTTGAATTCGAATTTGGGTTTTCAAAAGACATTGTTTGTTTGGATTGAATGTTGTTGCAAAGAATTGAGAATTTTCTCTACGTCTCTCTCTATCTCGCAATCCCAAATTTCAGTAATATAAGACGAAAGGAAAAGAGAGAAGCAATTCCACCATTGACAGCCATTAAAAAGCTTTGAAGCTTTGAATTCTAAATTGGGTTTTCAAAAATTATTATTTGTTTGGATTGGGTGTTGTTGTAAATAATTGGGAATATGGTTTGGAGTTTATATCTCAATTTTGAGGGGTTTTGGTGAAGATTAGACTTGGTTTTGGCTGAATTTCAGATTGAAACTCGAAGAAACAGAAGAAGACATGACATACATTATATTGCAGAAATTGTAGATAAATTGTAGAAAAATTGTAGACTGTTGTTTATTTATTTTTGAGCTTTGTGTTTTTGTGTTAAAAGTTTTGATGGGAGCTTGTTATTCCACTTCGTCTTTTTTAGAGCTAACTTGTGTAGAGGAGAAGATGTTTTTTAAGTTATATATATTGCTATACCTTTAAATTCAAGAAAGTATGGTTGTATTGTATTTAAAGAGGCGTGAATTTGTAGAATAGGTTGAATGTGAGGAATGAGTCAAATAAGACTCACAATGGCTTGCTTTCTACATTTAACCTACAACAAAACTACATATCATTTGAAAAATTAATATGAAAATACAGAATTTCAATGTTTCTACAAATTATCCACAAAATTTCTTAGGAAGATCTATCCCTTCATCATGTTTTTTTGGATTTCATATTTAGCATACCAGTTTCATAAGGAGTAACAAGAGCATATAGGAGAATCACATAATTGTAGCATAATCGGGATTTTCGACATAATTGCGTTTTTTGCCGAAGATTTGTAGAAGTTTTAGTCGTTTTTGATTTGTGAAAACAGAAAACAAAGCATCTACAATCAGAATACAAATAATCTACAATTTATCGACAAAATATCTACAAACTGGGTACAGTGAATTTTAATATCCCAATTTCCATTTAATTGTAGCATAATTGGGATTTTCGACATAATTGCGTTTTTTGCAGAAGATTTGTAGAAGTTTTAGTCGCTTTTGATTTGTGAAAACATAAAACAAAGCATCTACAATCAGAATACATATAATTTACAATTTATCTACAAACTGGGTACATTGAATTTTAATATCCCGATTCATATTCAATTGTAGCATAATTGGGATTTTGACATAATTGCGTTTTTTCAGAAGATTTGTAGAAGTTTTAGTTATTTTTTATTTGTGAAAACAGAAAATAAAGCATCTATAATCAGAATACAAATAATCTACAATTTATCTACAAAATATCTACAAACTGTGTACATATTTGGACTCGACATGCTTCTCCTGAAATGTATGTTTCACATTTTTGATACATATTTTTGTCCAAAACAGTACTAAATCATCCACTTAAATACAATATTTATACAATGTTGTTCAACTTTCATACAATAGGTAAATGAATAAAAGAAAAATAAATAAATAACAGTCTACAATTTTTCTACAATTTATCTACAATTTTTCTACAATTTCTGCAATATAATGTATGTCATGTCTTCTTCTTCTTCTTCTTCGAGTTTCAATCTGAAATTCAGTCAAAACCATGTCTAATCTTCACCAAAACCCCTCAAAATTGAGATATAAACTCCAAACCATATTCCCAATTATTTTAAACAACACCCAATCCAAACAAATAATGATTTTTGAAAACCCAAATTTGAATTCAAAGCTTCAAAGCTTTTTAATAGCTGTCAATGGTGGAATTGCTGCTCTCTTTTCCTTTGCTTTGTATTACTGAAGTTTGGGATTGAGAGATAGAGAGAGATGTAGAGAGAATTCTGGAAACAGAGTGTATCACAAAAACAGAGTATGGAAAATTTGAAACGAAGCCGACGATAATTATGAATGTGCGTGATTTGCGTTGTGGAAGATCTGAAGAATATTTAATTCCCAATTTTTGCGCGCTTAAATAAGGAATCCTACAGCTACAATGATTCCTTATTTAATGCATTGTATATATTATGTAAGAATACTATTAGTATGAACGGTAATATGCAAACTATGAACATATTTGGTAATATAGTTTCCTATATGGTATATATAGGAAAATTTCCC